TTACAAGTCCACGATTGTCTAAAACAACACAGCAAAGTAGGAACAATAAACTTTGTTACAAAAAATGTATTATCTACGCATGCATCTACGCAAGAGTCACCACCAGCCAATTAGGACATGTGTCAAAGTATTGAGCGTTTTCGTTCCCTTCTTGTCAAAATACATGCTTTGTACATACGTAAGTTAGACCCTGAGCTTTGTGTTCAGAAGGAGAATGTGTTGTCTTTGCAGTTGTTTGGCACTGTTCGTCGTGAAGGTGCGAAATAGATCTCTTGATATTTCTCTCTTTTTCTTGTCACTACGTTTTTGTCACTTATTGGATTTGCATGCTGTTTTCTTGATTCTTCACATCTATTTTTTCGTGTCACTTCTTCCCATAATTGGAGTGATATATTTCTGAACTTCTTTTCCTTATAGTTGTAGTTCTTTAGCTTATTTCCATCATTCCCTGTAGTATTTTGACAAGAAGGGAACGAAAACGTTCAATACTTTGACACATGTCAAAAAATGTATGTATCTACGCATGCATCTACGCAAGAGTCACCACCAGCCAATTAGGACATGTGTCAAAGTATTGAACGTTTTCGTTCCCTTCTTGTCAAAATACATGCTTTGTACATACGTAAGTTAGACCCTGAGCTTTGTGTTCAGAAGGAGAATGTGTAATCTTTGCAGGTGTTTGGCACTGTTCGTCGTGAAGGTGCGAAATAGATCTCTTGATATTTCTCTCTTTTTCTTGTCACTACGTTTTTGTCACTTATTGGATTTGCATGCTGTTTTCTTGATTCTTCACATCTATTTTTTCGTGTCACTTCTACACATAATTGGAGTGATATATTTCTGAACTTCTTTTCCTTATAGTTGTAGTCTTTTATCTTATTTCCATTATTCCCTGTAGTATTTTGACAAGAAGGGAACGAAAACGTTCAATACTTTGACACATGTCCTAATTGGCTGGTGGTGACTCTTGCGTAGATGCATGCGTAGATAATACATTTTTTGTAATATTTTCTGCCTCCGTCCTACTTTCAAATAAACATTGTATTAAAATTTAAACAAATGCATTGTTGAGTCCGACACCCGTTAGGCACCGGCGGATTATGCTCGCGAAATCAAGGAATTATGCTTTCATGGATTCTCGCATTATGCTCGTAAAATCCTCATATTATGCTTTGGCACACGGGGATATATATTAACTTTGTTGTACTTTTGGAGCCTCAAAGTTCGGGAAATTGTGCCTTTTTTCGTACTTGCAAGTTGCAAGTGGCTATAAGTACAAGAAATTACATGTACATGTACATGAGTATCCCCATACCAAGGTGTCCATGCATGTAAGAGGTCAACATGGAAAAGAGAAAACAATACTTATTCTATTCATTACTTGATTTGTTTTGTACTTCAGTAAAAATATTATTTCATTGCTAAATTAGTTTGAGTTACCTTTGAAAATTGTCAAGTTCAACTGTCTTCGTAATCATTATACTAGTCCATCCGATGTCACCCTGGGCCTCACCCTGCGAATAATCAGCTCATCTTTACCTAGCTCCACGTCTCCTTCCATCATGACCGAACATCATCTAATTTAGAGCAATATCCGTAGCCTGCAGTCATATCATGGCTACTAAAATCCAGACTGGTCATGACTTCGTAACATGGATAATGTACAAATGTAATGTACATGTACACGGAGTTTTGCGGACTACCCGCCACTACATCATAAATGTACATGTATCTCGTCCGCCCCGGGATACCTGATGAAAGCTGATTCACTCGCATCTTCTGCTACATGTACTGTGTCAGTGTGAGAAAGAACTTTGAAGACTGAGACGAGTTCGAGCATACAATAATCATTGCCATGATTTCTACCCTGCTTTTCATTGAAAACACTATCTGCATGACCTCCGAACCCTTTGCCATGCAGACCACCAGCACTGATCAGGTGCATTGTACACAACTGTATAGCCTATATACTAGAACTGTGGTATAATCGTGTAGTTATGCTCCTACGTCCGAGAGGATGCCAAATTATGCTCCACATTTTCAACCATCAAATTATGCTAATAATTATGCCGGCATAATCCGCTGGTGCCTTCACCTCGTTCCAACAACTACACTGATCCTGAAGATATAAGGGGCAAGGATATATGGTTGGAGGTACTGAGAGATAAACAAGGCACTCCATAATAATAAAATGCTACACGACTTTGGGGGAGTACCGTATGAATGATATCCAGTCAAACCTCTTTAGGACGAACATCAAGGGACTGATGGTATTTGTTCTGTTAGTTTGTCTTAACCCTATTTTATAACGATTGAATACAATTATTTCTCCAATAGAGACGCGAATAGATTTTTTACAGCGAAAGATTCTAAGCCAGACCAAACCATTGACTCGTCTTGTATGAATAATAATAAATGAGTCACTGAACCTTTCTTTAGCAACATGACGGCAACTGAAACAACAGCAGAGAATATACGATACATGTACACCCTAGTAAAATAAAAGTTCATAATAATACAGCACATTCTCGCAGGTACTACAAACAGATTGCAGATCGTGATTCTTGCTCTGCCGGCACGCAACATTATTTGGGGCAGTGCAATCTCGGCGCTACTCACAAATCAAACAGCCCAGACTCGAGTAAACTAATCCAATCGTACGAGATTTTCACGAGACGAGACTGCGCCCATTGGCTTGTTTCGTATGAAGCAAACAAGTCACTCAATGCATGAACCTCTCCATACTGGAGATTTTCCCTGATATGCGAATTTATGTTGCATACTCGGCCAATGCGTCCTTGAACCTTTCCCTCCAGATTGGGAACTGCCAACAATGCTATGCCACTGCAAAATTCAGATTCTAACAGTTACCCTATGATCGGAGCACGGAATGCCAGATGCAATCATGACCAGTGCCTTACTTGTAACGACTTTTCTTACGTACCAATGTACAATGAACATGAGTATTTCGACAACACTTCCAAGCCTCAGCAGCAACATAAGCCTTACCGTCAAGAAGGTGAACTCGCGTTCTTCGCACACTGTTGGCAAGGTCAAAGCGATACGAATGGATCTAATTCCGAATAAAATCAGCATACGTTTCCGTAAATGAAAGGGTGAGCATAAGCAAATGAATCGAAGAAAACTGGTCAACTCAGAGATCACCTGTCATTGAGTATTCCGTAAAAGGAGGCCTCGACAGCAGAAAAGCTAAATTTAGAAAAGAGATCCTGTCAGCTTTTCCATTATTTATAATAATTACTATTGTAGAAGAGTTACCAGAAGCAAGGTGAAGAGACGAAGTACTGGAGATTTGATTACGTCGGTACTGGAAGTGACAACAACGATCAACAAGAGGAAATGAGGAAGACCGAGGAGTCAAACGAAAACGACCATGAATTCAAAGGACGTTGGAGGTGTCAACAAGCCCAACGGAAAAGAACAACGGCAAACGTCGAAGGTGACAGAGCTAAATGATCGGACATTGTCCATCAAGCGTCATTTGTCGGGAAGTGCTAATTGTCGTAAGTTGTATAGTGATGATGTCTTTTCGGTTTTAACTCGTGGAAAGTCTAAGTTCCATAATGCTGTGTTAGAAGCTCTGTATATTCGTAAACTAGATCCAGCACTTTGTGTACAGAAGGAGAATGTGTTATCGTTGCAGTTGTTTGGTGTCACACCTCGTGAAAGTGTGACAAGTGCTTCTTGATGTGTTCAACGTGTTTGTCTACAACTTGCTGCTTTTGTTTTCGAGTTTTTTTAACACTTTAGTCATTTTATCGCCTATGTTGAAGTGTTGACTTTTTCTCTATTTTTCTATATAGTTATGTGGTTTTCCAAATATCCAACATTCCCTGTACTATCCTGAAGAGAAAGGAAAGAAAACGTTTGAAAGAAAGGAAGTGTCTACTGAATTGTGTGGATTTGCGTCGTTGCATGCGAATATTGACTACGAAACTGTTTTTCCACCGCCTCCAAACTACCGTTTGAATTACTATTGTATTCCATAATTCCACCTAAAATCAACACACTTTTCGTAAATGAAAGAGTCAACACAAGCAAATGAATCAAAGGGAACTGGTCAACTCACCTGTCATTGAGTGATATTCCGTGAAAGGAGGGAGCTCAGCAGAGCCGAAGCGAAATAAGCCAGGACACGAAATATCCGAAACAGCTCATGCAAGAAGCAGTTCCAAAGAAGGAAGTTCCTCGCGCATGCACATCCGAAAACGGACTGCAACACAATGTCTGCCGTGCACGTGCACAGCACAAGGCTACCACTTAACTTGTAGATCAAATACCGAGCACTGGCCTTACGCAGAAACTTACGTAGCCTAAGTGAAATACCGAGCACCTTACGTAGAAACTTACGTAGCATAGCGATGTCGTTTTTTCTGCCATGTGAACACAATAATAGAAAAGCTGACAGGATCGCTTTTCTAAATCAAAACGGCCCACGTAGACGGCCTTGTATTCTAGTCCACTAGACCCCTTTTAACCTCTGGTGCTTTCGTGCAGGGCGCTGATAGCAAGATGTCACCGTTGTGTGCAGTGCTGGCTCCATTGCTGAGCTTAAGTACGTCCGTACTGGTGCAATAATATGAGAAAAGAATTTCGCACCCATCATTAAGCCAACGCCAAGCTTCAAATTTGCAATGGAGACCAACAACTCGAGAGGTCATCATGTCTTATAGTAACGCGTTTGTGATGGTGGTGGTGATGATGGTTAAATATATCCTAGCTCGTCCATTGCAAAATCTTTCATGTATCCTGGTGTGTTAAAGTTGGAAGAAAACACACAAATTGCTTGTCGTGCTGTTTTGTAAATGTGCTATCATAACCTGCATATCCTCTCTGTGTGCTGGTCAGCAATACCGTTGGCTGCGTGTGAATCTGAACACGTTTTTTTCGATTGACAGATGTAAGGCAAACAAACACCATCGATACCCACATTAGCTATCCAAAGAACAGTCATTGGTTAATTTGGTCGGACATCAACCAAATCAATTTTATTTTTGTTGTCAGTTTGCATGAAAAAAAGGGCACCGTTTAAGCGAATTACAATACAATCAGAAAAAAACATACATAAACAAAACTATAAACAAAACGCGAATGTTTATCATGACAAGACAAAACAAGATCTCGTTTCTTTAATGCCACAATAGACCATGGCCAATAAGGCAGCTTCTTAACTGAGCCACAAGGAGCAGTTCAGTATGACGTGATCAGAAAGAAAAGAGCAGGATCAATGAGTCGGGGTCGGGTTATCATACTACGCGATACGTGTCATATTCTCCACACGCTGTGACTGGGCGTCCAAAAGGCTTTTCGTATTTTGCAAAAATATATTCCGTTGTTCTTTATTGTGTTCATAAACCTTCATGAACGTACCACAGCCGAACATTCGCACCATTAATGTTGGCTTTATATTTGGACCTATTCGTACATCATGGTGGTTCTTCAACAATCCAGAGCCAATACAGTAGTGGTCAATGTTATACTTATCCTGCTTGTAGGGACAGCGTGTTATGTGTATGAGGTCTCCAGTCACTACATCGCAAATAGGACAAGACGAGGAGTTCAAATTAGCGGAAGACGCGTGGCTAGTCTCTGCACAGTCCCAAGTAAATCCGATGTCTAGCTTCCCGGATGTGCATTGTACAACAATGAATGTTACTCCAAAGTCACGGTTTTGAACTGGTTCAGTGGCGCGTGCCGTAGCAACACCATCCTTTACTTGGCGTATTTCCACGCCCGGGAAAGCCTGGGATAAATTGCATATCATTACCGCACTTTTTACGGATTCTCTGGGATAAAAGAAATGTGGGTCAAGGTAGCTCGCTCTGGATCTGAACACGAGCAACCAAGTTTTTAAAGGGAAATACATGTCCATATTCCTGGCCAATGAACCGTTTTGAAAGCCTGGTAAACGACTAGGAGTATCCAGTAATAGTTCTAAGAGAAAAGCAGTCGGTTGACTATAGTTAAGATGGAAATGGGCATGCACTTCCCCTTTGCTATAACCTGATATCGGCACTAGCACTGGAGCTGCCGGAGAAAACCCACCTTCAATTCTAGTGGCCCAGATTTGAATGCTGGAGACTTTCAATGCGGTACCAGACAACGGTTGGCTTCGACTATTTCTCACTAGAGCTGTAAGGTTCAAACGATCCCCTGCAAACGCCAAACACGTCTTGTGAGGAAAGGAACAACTCGACAAGTCGATGGCAGTGTTATCCACGACTTTACCCATGGCACCAAAGTGTCCATCCAATTTGGAAGACTGCTTGCACGTATATATCATTCTCGGCATTCGCGAACTTCCTTTGGCCACAATGTCATGGTACGCTTCTGTAAGACATTGAATCGACTTTGGACTCATTTGAATGAGGTCTTCATTTCTTAGAGCATATCTGCGTGCATCAAGTATGTGCTGAAGAGTACCTGTCACATTGTTCGTCTCCCGGCAATGGTCTACGAGTTCGATAAACTCCTTCTTCCGTATTTCACCCTCGCCAATCAGCTCCTCCTTTCGCTTCTTCACTCTGAGAAGTAGATCCTGGCACTGCTCATGTATCATTGTCTTGATACTGGACACTTGACGTGTAGAGTCACACTCAAATGCTGTGACTAGATTACCGGCGTAGTCCAGGCTTTCGTCCACTTCCTTTCCTTTGTCATCAGGGTCAAGATTGCGAAGGCGCTCCGTAAGTCTGTGTCTTAGCGCTGCGGCTACTTCAGTGGCTTCATTGATCTGATTCATATGTGACGCGTGCTTGACTTGCAACTTACAACGTTCACACAAAACCTCTCGACAGCGAGTGCACCAATACCGTAACTTCATCGTGCTGTGGTAAGGGCAAACGTGCACTCGCCCGCCGTGAGGTATCTGCTTGTGAAAACCTTGAGCATCCACCACAGTGGAACGGACGACAAAAGAGCTCGTTGGCTGTTGTGGGATGCTAGACAGGTTCATATTTTCATCAGCGAATACTTCAAGAACATTGTCTGTCTCGTTCGTCTTCTTTGTTCCATCGTGACTATCTGGAGCAGTGTGGAACATGGAATCATCAACCAAAACCTGTTTGTGATTGCGACCGGGCGGTGGACATGGCGTATAACGTCGACATTTGGAACAGCGTATCTTTCCATCTTGCTGAACACTGTCCGGAAGACAGTCTAGGCAGATCTTGTGAAGACACCTGAGAAGTTTTCCAGCTTTCCCGTCTCCATCTTGGCAGAAAACACATGGTGGCCGCATCTTCAAAAACGAACAAAAGCAAATCTCATAAAGTAGTCAAAGCTACTGTTCAATTGCATAACACCGAGAGTACACCAAGAACAGTTTACACTTCACAACTGAACAATTTGAAACCGTCCTCGACAGCAACTTACTTTAATGGTTGAAAGTTACTGTCTTATCACAGTGTTGAAACACTCTGTGCCATACATGTGTAAGTACAATGACGTTTTGCAGAGCGAAACCTGGCACGGATTTTCGCGTCTGGGCTTGCGAAAGTTTGGGCGAAAGTTCCTGCGACGTTTGAGTTTTGCTTGCTTTTTGTTGGTACATATCATGAAACTTGCACTATCAGACAAAGTAACTTGTGAATATAATGCACTGTCCCTAGTGAAGCGCAAAGCATGGCATACGGATGGTTCACAACCTTTCAGCGATGAGCACATTTGCTACAATTTCTGTATTTAAAGCCGCAAGTGTACGCGTGAAATTTCGAATTTTGTCCCATCAAGCGAATGTTCGCGCGAAGGATTCCCTCTGATTCCCTCCCTCCCTCCATCTCTGTATTACGCGAGTACCTGAACATGTTGAATTCCGCGAAATTTACAGGTAGTGTAATGTCAGTATTAACCAACGAAGGTGCACTATTTAGTACTGAAGGTGGAAACCGTTGGGTCAATTTGCTTGCCTGTTAGGTCGTATTATCTACGTACAATAACATGTACAGGTCTGCTCTCGATATAACAACTCTCACTTGTACATAAACCTCGTTAGTACATAAAAAAGCCAAATCCCGCGCCGAAACAGCATCATTCCCATACAAATTTTGTTCTACACAACATAATCCTACATAACATAAACCTCGACATAACACACGCTACGGCGGTCCCCGACGTGCGCACTCTCGATACAACATAAATTCACGTGCACGGTATGATCAAGCGGTAGCTGTAGCTAGGCAGTTTAGGCCAGTTTAGTCCTACATAACGTAAACCTCGGCATAACGCACCCTACGGCGCAGTCCCCGACGTGTACACTCTCGATACAACGTAGATTCACGTGCGCGGCACAATCAAGCTGTAGCCGTAGCTAGCCAGTTTAGTCCTATTGCATTATATTCTGCGGCATTGATGGTATCTGATGTCGATGGTGGTACATTGTGTATATGTTTGCACGGTTGAACCCGCCTTGTAATACCCTTCATTTTGAAGTGCATCTTGTATTTACACACGGTTTTCTACATAACATAACTCTCGATATAACATAATTTTTGCGTGGTCCCAGAGATTACGTTATATGGAGAGTAGACCTCTATTGTGACCAACAGCATGCACTAAAGTACACAGGAAACAGATAAGAAAGGTATACTCAAATCTGGGGACAGCAACTGTTTCGCTTTGTTAGAGCTCCTCAGCACAGCTCAGAGGACCAAAGCGAAGCTCTTCGCAATGAAGTACGTTTCCGTGAAGCAAAAGATTTTTAGAAAGAGCTCCAAACCCGGCCAAAAGTGCTCGAAATGCTCCAAGAGCAGTGAGAAAGGTGTATGTATGTGAGTGGGTAGGTGAGTTTTGGTATGTTAAGTTCCACTTACAATCATGTACCTTTGTAACCTGCATTTTCCAATCTACACTTGCTTTCACAATGCTCCCTGCCCATGTTTGTTTGTTTGTTTCTTTTATTTGAATTCGTTTAGAGCACAGGCAATTCTGCCTTCTCACCAGAGGAAAAACCTCCGGTTTCTGCTAAGAACGAATATAATATTATGAGAGAAGGAAATATTAAAAAGAATCATAACAATCATGATAATTCCAAAGCACAAAGTTTGTATATAATTCAAATGGGTGTGTGTATGTGTAAGCATGCAGTGAAGAAAACACCGAGAAAACATGCAGTAATGTGTAGGGATGCCGAGCAAGGTGGTTACAAATTATTAATTCTGTTCAGAGCCAGTTTAAAGGCAACCGCCGCACTGTGGAGGCGAATATCGCTGGGAAGGGAATTCCAAAGAGTGCTTCCCACAAATGTCAATGACTGACGACCGGAAGGTCCAGGAAGGAAAGGCACTTGCAGTAGCCGCTGCTCCTGTCCTCGAGTAATTCGGCGATCATCCCGGGATGCTTGGCCTGTGTTAGCCATCAACTGAAAGTAGGTGCAGAAAAGAGGACTTGCAAGATCATGTAGGCAACGGAAAACAAAAAATAAAACCTTGTAGTTAAAAATGTGAGTTAGGGATCGAATAGATAAGCGCACGAGGAGGGGGGCTGTGGATGCACGGCTGGAGAGTCGGAAAATTGCACGAATTCCGGATTTGCTGGATTTGATTAAACGACTCTGCAGCTGCTGTGTCAGCGACGGGAAGAATGCATTGGATGCGTACGTTAGTCGTGCTTGCACAATGCCAATGTACCAAAGTCTGCGGGCTCTTATGGGCAGAGATCGCCCATGGCGCCATAGCTGGCTGATGGCGACTGACGCCTTCTGCACAACACTGGAGACATGGGGCTGCCAGGATAGCTGGTCATCAATGGTTACGCCAAGGTATTTGGCAGTGGAGGTAACAGTTAAGGCTTGATCCTTACATTTCACGACTGGTATGTCGCCAGTGAGTCCCCGAGGTTGAATTACCATGACTTGGGTTTTGCCGGTATTCAGCAGAAGCCCAATTTCGGAGAGCCAGTCAGCCAGACGTGTCACAGCCGTAGTCAACGTCTTGCAAACAGTGTCCAGATCTGAATCTTCATAAATAAATTTAGATCTGTTTGAATATGCAACTAAAAGCAGATGGAGACAAATCAGAAGAGCTGCCTTTGCCGAATCGAGTGGAGGAAAGCATCGAAATGACATCATCGGAGTTCTATGACTCATGGACTCAGTATCATGTCGAAATGAGCACTCTGCAGCAGCGCGTGTCTGACGATCCTAGTGAAGTAGGTCTCAGCACAGTAAAACTTTTTTGCGACTGCAGGGGCGGTTTGCCATTTTTGGGCTCCGCTTGTTTTCAGTAAATCTGGCAGTTTTTGCCCCTCGGGGGCTGGCTTAGCACGATGGACACAAATGTATGTGGTGATATCACAGTGGAAGATCAGTTTGGTGTTCCAGACCCCGTGAGGAAAGATTCTGTCCGTCAGTCTTGCTCAACATGTGAAAGCCATTTTTTAAAAATCCTCGAAGTAATGGAAATGGAACGTAGTCTTGCTGCCGATCGAGAGAAAAGATTAAATAGTAAAATCGACGACCTCACCCGTTTAGTTTCCTCCCTGAAAGAGGTAGTTATGGAATCTGGATCACCAGCGTATTCAATGGCGGCAGCGAAGGCAGTCGGCCATGACGAGACAAAGAGCAAGGGAAAGCCACGCCGCGCACGGAGCAGTTTCAAAGCTGGTGAACAAGTTCAAGCTGAGTCTGCAAAGTCCGTACGATCTACGAATGCGCCAACATCTCAAGACAGCCGTGCTCAACCGGATCTGGAAGCTTCAGCAGCCACCTCCACGTGCGAGGACGTTGACTCGGTTCATGAACCCCGTACGCAGAGATCGGACCTTGGCCTTGATGACCCAGGAGCACGTGCAGAGGGACATTTGAAACCAAGTGCTGCACAGAAGATCGTCGATCGCCTCAAAAAATTTGAGGATATGCAGGACGATGTCGAAGCTTCCTGGAGGCTGGTCACGAATACTAAGCCCACGCAGAAAAAGTCAGTTTTCTTCGTTGGGAACCTGCTCCCCGAGATGCAGAGCGAGCAGTTGAAACTGTTTATTGAACGCAGAGCTGCAGACATCGATCACCCTGTCAGTGTTTTTGAGGTGAAGATCTTCCCCAAAGAATCCTCATCATCGGCCAGGATCACCATCAACGCTTCCAGTGCGAAGCTAGTCAACAGCCGCCGTTTCTGGCCTGCTCCACTGTACAGTAGGTGTTGGAATTTCGACAAGTACAGATCTGAAACAGAGGACAGCCACAGCAGTATGAATTCAGCCCAAGATGACCAGCATAGCCTTCCTTAACATCTGCAGCCTCCGCAGAAAAGTCGACGAACTCAAAGATTTCGTTTCCAAGCATGGTGTGCATGTCATGGGCGTTGCTGAAACATGGCTAGCTGCTGATGTAACTGATGGAGAGGTATCCATTCCTCACTACAAGCTATTCAGGAAAGATCGTGCCCTACAGCACGGCGGTGGCGTTTGCATATACTGTCATGAAACGACTCGTGTCAAACAACGTGCTGATCTGGAAACAGATTTGGAAATTTTGTGGATTGAGATCATGGAGCAAAAGCACAGTACCCTGGTGGGATGTGCATACCGTCCACCAGATAAGTCAGTGGCTTACTGGGATGTATTCCAAGCCAACATCGAAAAGGCAATGCAGGGAAGACAGTCGCGCACAGTTCTCATTGGAGACTTTAATGTGGACTATGCCGATCCTCTTGCCAGCCGTGCAAGTCACTTGCACTCCACACTCACACACTGCAACTTGTTTAACCATGTGTCTCAGCCGACAAGAGTCACGTCCTCTTCGGCATCTGTTATCGATCTGTTCTTGTCTAACGTTCCCATAGAGGGTGTATGTCGCACTGTCTATGTTGATATGAGCGATCATTTTGCCATCCTGGCCCATATGCCTGGCTTTGGCATGGGAAAGGCATATTCTGGACACCCAGCCGCCAAACGCCAAGGTAGGCGACTCCATCGGATAAATTGGAACACATTCAATGAGGACTTGAACCATCATCTAGCGACTTGTACCTTTACCGGAAATCTTGAAAATGCTGTGCAGAGTCTTACCACCTTTATCATATCTACCCTGGATGTGCACGCACCATTGATTCATCGGCGCCGACAGGAGAAACGTCCTTGCCCCTGGCTAACACCGGAGCTAGTTGCCGCGGTACGTGAGCAAAACCAGTTCCATCGCCGGTTGATGAGCGACAAAGGCAATGCGGATCTGCGTGAGCTCCACCGTCAGGCCCGCTCTACTGCAAGGAAACTGGATCGCCGTCTACGTAATGCCTACTTCATGAATCAGTGTGCAACTCGTGATCAGAGAAAGTTGTGGTCAGTTATGAACATCGTCACAGGCCGTGCTAAGCAGCGTCAAGAACCTCAAGCCGACATTGTGGACCTGAGCAAAACCTTTGGGGATGTTGTGCATGACCCAGAC